AATGCAGGTGGATGGATGGGCCTGCATTGAATTTATTTGAATAAATTAAAATATTTTACGATTTTTATTGTATTTTTTTTTAATTTTTAATATTTAATTTGTTTGTTTGTCTATTTATAAAAAATTGAATTCCATTTGTTTTTAAATTTTTGTCAATGACGAGGGTGTGTCTGTCTGTGCAAGTTGGCTGGTGATTTTGGTCGGTGTTTTTTTATTTTAAATAAATAGTTGATCTTGTTTTTCTATGTAGAAAAATATTTACAAATTTTGTATTTTATATTTTATGCAAACTTGATTAGGAGTTGGAAAAATTACATTCACTTGATATCAGATTTGTATTTTGTATCTGTATTATGTCTTTGTGCATATGTTTGTAACAGGCAAAAGAAAACGAGATAGACCCATAGTTCCTTTTGAGAATATGCATAGAATCACTTTCTGAGTTGATTTATGCATGTCCGTCCTGTCTGTCCGTCTGTTGGTGTTAAATTGTAAACAAGTACAGGTCGCATTTATAATCCGATTTGGATGAAATTTGGCACAGCTCATTTGTTTTGCCCAAGGACGCACCCTATTGAAATTGGTGAAAATCGGTTCAGATTTAGATATAGCTTCCATATATATTTTCGTCCGATTTAAGGTAAATGGTGCACTAAAGTCCCTTTATATCCTTCGATTTGCCCGAAATTTGCCGTAGCATACTGAAAAAAATCTAGACTGATGTGTGTTAGGTTTCGTGGAAATCGGCTCAGATTTAGATATAGCTCCCATATATATTTTCGTCCGATTTAAGGTAAATGGTATACCAATGTCCCTTTATGTCCTTCGATTTGCCCGAAATTTGGCATAACGTACTGAAAAAAACTCTACAATGATGTGTGTTAAGTTTCATGGAAATCGGTTCAGATTTAGATATAGCTCCCATATATATTTTCGTCCGATTTAAGGTAAATGGTATACCAAAGTCCCTATATATCTTTATATTTGCACGAAATTTGGCATAGCGTACTGAAAAAACTCTAGAATGATGTTTGTTAGGTTTCGTGGAAATCGGTTCCGATTTAGATATAGCTCCCATATATATTTTCGTCCGATTTAATGTAAATGGTGTACCAAAGTCCCTATATATCTTTAGATTTGCACGAAATTTGGCATAGCGTACGGGAAAATCTCTAGAATGATGTGTGTTAAGTTTTGTAGAAATCGGTTCAGATTTAGATATAGCTCCCATATATATTCTCGTCTGATTTTATGTAAATGGTGTACCAAAGTCCCTATATATCTTCAGATTTGCACGAAATTTGGCACAGTGTGCGGAATTAAGTCTAGAGTAATGTGTGTTAAGTTTCGTGAAAATCAGTCCAGATTTAGATATAGCTCCCATATATATTTTCGTCCGATTTAAGGTAAATGGTATACCAAAGTCCCTATATATCTTTAGATTTGCACAAAATTTGGCATAGCGTACTGAAAAAACTCTAGAATGATGTGTGTTAAGTTTCGTGGAAATCGGTTCAGATTTAGATATAGCTCTATATATTTTTTCGTCCGATATAATGTAAAGGGTGGTCCAAAGTTCCTATATATCTTAAGATTTGCACGAAATTTGGCATAGCGTACTGAAAAAACTCTAGAATGATGTGTGTTAAGTTTCGTGGAAATTGGTTCAGATTTAGATATAGCTTTCATATATATTTTCGTCCGATTTTATGTAAGTGGTACACTAAAGTCCCTATATATACTTAGATTTGCACGAAATTTGGTACAGCGTACTGAATTGATTGTAGAATGATATGTGGTAAGTTTCGGGAAAATCAGTTCAGATTTCGATATAGCTCCCACATATTCATATATATTCGTCCGATTTTACATAAATGGTGCACCAAACTCCTAATGTTTGTCCGATTAACAACGCACAACGTATCAAATTGAGACTTCAATGACGTTAATGCGATTTGTTGAAATTGGTGCAGATGCAGCCATAGCTTCCATGATTGAGATTAAATTTTTAACAGCGCGGCGTATCGAATAGTGTGTATCAATTTTGCTATAAATCGTTTTCCATATATTTGATCCCATGGCACGCGGACGACTCTGAATCTGCCCGAATTAAATTTAGCATAGGTGGCCGAAAGACATGAGTATGTTCGTTCGAGGGAACATTGACATGCAATTGGTGTACAATATACACAAAGTGGTGAAGGGTATCATATAGGCGGCCCAATTCGACTATACTACTTTACTTGATATTGACTTTATGTGTTTTTTGGGCAACAAAAAAAAAAAAAAATTGGATGGAAAGCGTTTCCAATAAAAATCAAAATTTAAGAGGTTCTTTCATATGTGGGTTAAAAATTGTACCAATATTCATACTTTTTTGTTAGAAGATTTGATTGCTACACAATGAGAATTCAAAATTTCGGATTAGAGTCAATTTGGTTGAAAAATATACCTAAAATAGATATTTTAGAACCAACGAGAACCTTAAATTCCAAATTACATTCAATTCGGTTGAAAATATGACAAACCCCCCAATATTTGAGGGAAACGTTATATGGGGGCTATAGCAAAACGTGAACCCATAAACCATTCTCAACGCCAAAGCTCTACCTTAACTATTGCGAGCTAAAACGGCTTTGTATTTTATTCTAAATAGTATGGGATCTCCAATGAATATTTCGAGGTGTTACAAGTATATTTCAAGTCACTTTTTTGAAAAAAAAAAATAAATAAAAATAACGTCTTTAACCTCTAAATTTTTAATTTAATAAATGTTAATTTCAAATAATATGGAAAATTTATGATTTTTTTAAATTAGACCTCAAGTATAAACAAAAATTCTATATTTAGAAACAAAACAAAAAAAAACAATCTTGATTACGTACATTGTATGGTATTTACGTAATTTTATAAATCGATTCAAAAGCATAATAATTAAATTAACAAAACTGTTGCATGGTAAATTTTTAATTTTTCAAAAATATTCCTCTTCGTAAGCGCATTATTTTTTTCGAAAAACCCTTCCATTAAATATATGAAGTGTCAACAAATATATCATTGACGTATTATTGATTAATATTATTTGTTTTTTTATTTTTTTTTTTTAAATAAAATGTGAAACAACAATTAAAATAAAATTAAACTGTAACAATTCTTAAGAAACAATTAGAAGGAAATATACACTTCTAAACCTGTTCCCATTGAGGTGTTAACATTTTGACTTTGATTAAATAATATTTATTATTTTTTCTTTCTTTTCGGTTCAAAAACCTTAATGTCTTCTTTTTTGGTTTCTATACAAAGTGCATTGTACTATTTTGTGTGATTGATTAACAGTATTTTTTATTGAACAAATTAATTTTAATAAAAAATATTATTCGCTACAAATAAAACGAGAATAGGAATTTATTCGCCTTTATTTAAAATATAACTGTCACATTATATTTTAGGTGCCTTTGACCCAATCTTCAGGTTTGCACGTGACGCAAAAGGTGACCCCAATTAAATTAAGAACTGCAGTTACAATAGAAAGAAAGGAAAGCTTGCTAATCCAAACAATTTATTGCAGATGCCAATCTTAATTATCAAAATTTTTCTGGATTGTCGAGATTTATTTTAGTTCCAATTAGTAATCATTTATTAGTAATCATTGTTTTTACACTTTATAATGGGCTCATAAAAAAGGGAGAGTTCGAAGTTCCAGTTTCCAGGTTTAAATTTCTTTACTAACAAGCCACCTGAAATTTCCAGTGCCACAAACTCCCGCATAATCAAATTCTACTTTATCCTTCGAATTCAGAACGTATGCCATAATATAAACTGCACTCTAAAATTTTATTATACTATTAGATGTCACAGTTTTTAAATGTTCTAAATAATTTCGAATTTAGTTCAAGTTTTCTGCTAAAGATAATTGAACTTGTACAGGTATCGATCAGATTTCGTATTATGTGCCTTTATACCCAAAAGAAGCTATAACCTGAAATTTTGAAATGTCTTTTGGTTATATTGGAACTGTAAATAATTCATTGTGTTTGGGAATCATTAAATTGCACATATTCCATCCTGGTGCCCATTGTTCATTTTATTACCGATGAAAATAAAAGCAAACATCGTAGTGCAACTCTTAGGATACTCTCAAATTTATTTAAAAATCAAGGAGCATTCTATATTTTAAGTTCAGCAGGTTTGGATCCAACTCAATGCCAATCAAAATGCCCATTTGAATATTGCTTTAGAAACGACTTCATAGGCCTTCATATACTTATATTCCTTTCATAATTTAGTGTCGATGCCTGGTGTAAAAATTAATGTATATTATCCGTGCTCTGTTTTAGCAGACTGTTCATCTATCCCAACAATATCAAATCCAATCACTTTTTTAGAAAAAAATGGATTTGTCTCTTCCATTCTCGGTTGTGTAATTCATTAATTTCACAAGATTCAAATTCTCCTATTGTTTATTATTACACGCAACTTATTTATCTCTATTTACGTAAAAAATTACAATGTATACGAAGAAAAAACTTGAACTAATAAAACACAAACAAAGCATCGATTTTTATGAGTAATTAAACAATTAATAAAAAAATGAATTTTTACGACTTCTTCGAATCGGGTACAAAACCTCAAAAAATTTACTTTTTTTGCTATACTACACACATTGGATCCATTAAATTTTATTTACAAGGAAATATTTATGTTTTTCTACAAAAAGTTATTTAATTTTAAAAAGTATGTCCTAAAGTTAAGAAATTATTAAAAAAAATACCAAAGTTAATCATGTTTTTATTTTTCTAATATCATCACAATTCTTAATTTAATACACAATTAATACATAATTAATTTAATACACAACGCAATGGCTTAATATTCAAATAAATATACCGCCAACATTCCCACCAGAGCTACGTTACATTGCGCACTAATTACAGCAGCTTCATACAAACAGTGCTAACCATTCCCCGTGAATACATTGGAAATAAGTGAAAGAAGAAGCTACGATTTTTGCAAAAAATCTATATTTTTTATTGAAGAAATTGTTATTTTATCGAATATTTTTTAAAGTCTAAATGAATTAGCCTGATTTTGTGGACCATCATGAATCGCCAATTGGTGGAAAACATTTTGGGCGTTATAAAGACATCAACCGACAAGGCAGTCATTGTTAAGGGCCTTACGAAATTGCGAACAGATGTTGTAAAAGATAAAAATGGTATTATATTGTTTCGGGAGGCAGGAGGTGTACCTCCCATGGTTAGATTCCTTAGCAAACCCCATGAAAAGATATTGGAAGTGGCCTTGTCTATAATGGGTAATTGTTGCACGGATGAACAAAGTTGCAGAGAGGTAAGTACACAGTGGCTACTTGGTAGCAACAACAACAAAGAGAGAGGGGAAGGAGGCAAGAGAGAGACAATGAACTATAATTTCCTTTTCTTTATTTCACAGGCATTGGAAAATAAAATTGCTATACCATTGGCTACGATTTTGAAATCCATACCCAATCCGGTGATACAATGTAGGGCATGTCGCCTTTTGGGTAATTTAGCCAAAGTGGATACCAATCAATTACTGTCTACGCATTGTCCTGCAATTGCCCAAGCTTTGTGTCGCATCATTGAGGACACCTCGGATGTACAAACGCGTATGATGGCTTTTCGTTCATGTCGCTTCCTTTTGGCAAATCCTCAATTTCTAAAACATTTCCTTCAATCATCCGGATTCACTATCCTCTTGCGCATACTGACAGCGATTATGAAAAATGAATCGAACACAGAATCAGAGGAAAAACTACTTTGCGATGCTCAGGCTCCACTGAAGGTGGGCCTTAAACGCAATCAACATCGTGAAAAATATTTCGAAGAAGTGGCTCGCAATTTGGAAGGTGTTCGCAGCGACATTTTTGATCATGAGGTGTTGAAAAATTCCACACGCAATTCAAATGCCTACATTATACCTCAGGAACAGGCAGCACTCGATTTGGTTTGTGAAATTTTGAAATGTCTTTTGGTAATATCGGAACTGCAAATCAATTCATTGGTTTGGGAATCATTAAATCGCGCTCATTGCACCCTTGCGCCCATTGTTCATTTTATTACCGATGAAAAGAAAAGTAAACATCGTAGTGCCGCCCTTAAGATACTCTCAAATTTGTCCAAGAATCAAGGAGCATTTTATATTTTAAGTTCGGCCGATGCTATTTTGGCAGCCTGTGAAGTACTGGTGGCCGATGAAGATCTCAGTGAAAGTGAACGTAGACACTGTATTCACATAATAAGTATTTTATCCACCGATGCCTGTAATCGTTCCAAGATTAGGCGTTCAGGGGCTCTTAGAAAATTTATTGTAATGATTAAGGATACGGTGTCACCGGCAGAAAAGGCTTCTGTGAGTTAGCTATATGCATTTATATATTTATATAAAGTTTTGATTAATTTGTCTTTTATATTTTCCAGATTTTAAATGTCCTAATTAACTTCCAATATGATAATATGAGCATGGATTTAATGTTACGCGAAGGTTTGGTCTTGGTTCTTGTCAAAGAGCTTAATATGTATATGGTCAGCGATGAAGATTATTACAAAAAGAAACGTGAAGAAAAATTACAATCGGAAAGCAAGAAGAGAAAACTACCAGAACTTATAAAGGAATCAAAATGCAAGGTAATCCGAATGTCCAGGGGCAGATAACTTATAATAATAATGGAATATCTTCTTATTTCCAGTTTGCCAAAGTACGAGAAGAAAATTATTTGGATAGTGATTCTCCGAGTAGTTCACCTAGATCGTACAATATGCCATCAAGTCCTTGTAGTTCGCGCAGCATGTCACCCGTGGGTGGTGGTCATATGTATCAGCCAAATAATGGTTAGGATCATTTTTAATTTTTATTTGCTGTTTACATAGATTTTTTATTTAAGGAATATTTCTGTTTTTTGATTTATTTTAAAGCTGATTCCGATGAAGAATCCTATTCACCTGTCTGCAGTGATGAAGAAGACGACGAGGAAGAAACTGAAGCAAGAGATATTTCCAGCCATCTCTATAATAACCCCAATGCAAATAGTAATGATCACACCATTATTATGAATCTATTAGATTTGGCAGCTCGTTCCGAAGAAGACAGTATTTTAATCGAGGATGAAGAGGAAGTAAGCCAAGGTGAGAATAATTTAAGTTCAATCTCAGTAGTGTTGGCGAGTTATTTGGGATACCATTTGTATTTTGTTTTTGCAAAATAGTCAGGCTGAATCCCAGTTTGTTGTTTTTATAAAAATAACTATTTATAACTGGGGAAAAGTATGGCATTGTTCAGCAAGGAGTAAGGCAGGGAACCTCGAAATAATATTCTCAACAAATTAGTGGAATTCAGAGGATATTCTTTCAAAAATTCGTGGTTTTCAGAGGCCTTGAAAAATATTATTTCAAAAGTTTGTGGTTTTCAGAGGCATAGAAGAAATATTCTAAAAAAATGTATGGTTTTCAGAGGCCTTGAAAAACTATTCTTTAAAAAAATTGTATTTTTCAGATGACATGAAGAGTATTCTTTAAAAAAAATTGTGGTTTTCAGATGCATTGAATCCACAACTTTGGTAGCACTTGAAATAAATTATTCAATTATTTTATTTCTTTTCAGATGTACCTGCCATTAAATTGCCTCAATTGGGTCACTTACCCCACAACACCATTGATGTGATTGATAATTTACTATTCCGGGTAACTTGTTTGGTAAAGAAAAGCCTTGATCTGGGCAAACCTGAAACCATGAATACTCTTATAAAGGCCATAAATATGTTTGGTCTCAATACTGATTTTGCAGGAACGCTGACGAATATATTATTGTTAGTTTAAATATTTTTGTTATTGATAAATGTGTGTATTAATTTTAATTTTTCGATTTTATAGGGAAAGTCAATTTTTCGGAAATGTCATAAAACAGGGAATATCTCATCAGTTATATCAATTGACGAAAGTAAAGGAGGTAAGATTGGGAATAATTATTCCTTTTTATGAAATATAAATTTAAAAAAAAACATTGTTCTATTTTTTAGACCAGCAAAGATGGATTTGGCTTCTTGGAAACATTAACCTCGGTCAGCGAGTGTAATTATGGTAAAGAGGAATTGGCACGTCTCTTGCGCAGTGATGATGTATTATCACAAAAACGGGCTGCCATTACCGTGGGCTATTTAATACGCAGCAAACCATTACTATATCAATTCCTTAACGATGGCAATGCCCTAACATTGCTATTGGGTATTATATTAAGCTCTAAGGAAGATGAATTTACTGCCGAGGCAGTGGATGCCCTTACATGCATGTCACGCTACACCTTGGGTATTCATGTGCCACAATTGGATATGGAAAAACGTTTAGATGAATATGAGGAGTTTGTGGAGAATGCCGGACAATCTCTGCAGGAAGAGGACTGTGATATGCGTTTTGTAGTACATGCCCCCAACAACAACCACAACACCAGTAAGGAACCAGACAATGCCCCCAACAACATTACAGATGACAATGACACAGAAAAAATCACTGCCGTTGCTTTTAGTAAGGCCATGTTGTGTTCGATCAGTGAAGTTTTCAATACCATGTTGAACAGTGATTTCCGCGAAGGCAAAGAGGGTGAAATCCATTTACGCAACTATTCAGTAAGCGGTCTACGTTACTTCCTCAATCTAATTGTAAGGCAATCGCGCAAACAAAAATACAATATACCACCAGCCAATCAATATTATGCCCTCTTGGAGGCATTTGAAATGTCACGCATCTATATTATACCCGAAATGGAACAATTTGTATTGGAGCTGCTGATTGCACTGCTCGACGAAACCAATTGTTTAAATGTCCTGGAATGGTCAATGAAAAACTATCACGTCGAATTAACTGAAATGGCTATTAATTATTATTTGTGTTCAACATTAAGTACTGAAGCTAAGGTTAATCTTTTTAGAACTGCTGATTATTCGACATACTCGACAGAATGGTTTCAAATGATTATGGAAGCTATTTTGGCTAGATGTCGTAATGGTTTTTAATATCTAATATATATATTTTCCATCTCTCAAGCTTATTCTCTATAGCTCTTACGCTCTAACTCTCTCGCTATCAAATTTATTTTTTTTTATATTGTTAAAATTTAATGTGTGATTATTATAATTAAATATTAGAATATATTTAGAAATTAGTAGAAATACTGTTAGATGTTTAAGAAAATGAGTGAAAACAAAACAATTATTTAAAATAAATGTTTGTAAACATGTTCATGCAAAAAATGATGAATGGGTTACTGAAATATCGGAAAGAGTTTTTTTTCGAAATTTATGAATATGAAATTTGAGGAAGTACTCTTACATAAAAGTATAAAAAATTGGATATGCTTTTGACCCTTATTTCATATCACCAATTTTATTTTTTATATTATATATATTTTGTTTAAAATAATTTCATATTTTCACATTTTGTTACCACTGTATTTTATTTTAATATATCGTATAATTTTTCATTCATTCTTTTTTTACAAATAGTTCAATCCCTGCCGGCATTTATCCCATTTTTTTGTTTACACATTGTTGTACTAAATTTATACACATACATACATACATTCATATGAGAAGAGCGTTTTGAAAATTTGGTAGCATTCAATAGTTTTGAAACAAAGGAACACCAAACAATAAAATGTAAGAAATTAAATACAAAATGCTCATCATATCGGTTTTTTGGCTGAGATGCAAACGAAATGTACATATATGAGATATTTCCAATGGAATAGACAATAGCAATTTCAAGGAAAAATCTCGGACCTTGATCAATCTATGTGGTTCTATGAATTAACTCGAAAAAAGAATTCGATTAGATATATCAACCTCAATAAGTACAAATACGTGGATATTGTATCCACTTTGAGTATGGCAATTTATTCCGAATTATGGTTGCTGCGATCCAGAAATCATAATTAACAGAAAACGGTAACTTACAGCATTGTGATGAATACAATTTTCTGTGAAAGGATCATACCAAGTGCGTAGTGGCTCAATAAGTACAAGTACTTTGAATATATTTGTGTTATGGGAGCGGTATTATATTCCGAAATGCCTTCTCCGAACATTTCGACGCTGTTCCGGATAAAGCCGATAAAACACATCTCACAGTGTGTCTCAATAATCGTCGTGGGAATACGAGACACCCCGCAGATACCTCAACTGTAATATACGCAGCATTAAACACAATATTTTCTGCCGAAAGTCCCGATAATGAAACTTTCCTACAGTCTAACTTCGTTGGTACCGCAACAATATTTGCAAAATTTTGGAGTTTATGAGTCGAACAAGAATTAGTGCAGCTGCAATCCAGGAAACATAGCTAACGGAGAAATGTAGCTTACAGCGATGCGATGGTGGTTATACGTTGTGCGAAAGGATTGTATCACAAGCGAAGGTAAGTCCCCCCATATTCTTGTTACACAACTCCATCCAGTACAAATCTATATTGCTTGACCTGGTCTCTTGTGACTCATTCACTCTATGTTTAACGATAATAATAAAGTGTGGAACTATCAGGGTTGAGGTGTTTAATGTAGACATAGCACCGATGAATAGCTGTACACCGCATAATTTGCCGGTCAGTACTCAAGATGATAAGGATGGGAATGATATTTTCAAAGCTCAACAAGTATGATCTGATAAATGACATAACTTGGTAACTTGATGTTGTAGCAGCCCTATAGCATTTACACAATAGGCCATGTAAGACTCCGGTCGTTTTTAATCGTAGACCACCTCTGTCGAGGAAACGCTTGCTTTCCCATGAGTTCGCTTGATTCAGACCACCTTCTTTATAATCGTCTCCGTGCCGTACTTTCCTGAATCATGGGGAAGCTTAGAGTTTTCAAATCACCTCAGACATTGCTCCTCCCGTATACCAACCACTTTAAACATCGCAAAACAAAGTCACTTTAAATTCAGATCATATTCCCATCCTGGTCATTGTAGAGAAAACCAACACGCACGGCTTCACAAAATTCATTGAGAACTTATGCAGCTATCCATTTGTGCCAGAATGGGTGAGAAAATATTCAGTTGAATTTTTCTAAAAGGGGGAATACGGTTCATCCTGCGGGCAGAACACATCCTTCCAGGGCCTCCAGATGGGCATAGAAACGCACAATCGCATCGACTTAGTGCCGTTAGCCTCGCTGATGACAAACTACTACTACTATGGTCTAAATAAGCAGTTTAGAAACAAGGCCACCTCTCGCCAGACCAAACTCACACTCTACAAGACGCTGCTGTTGTATGGATCTGAAGCTCTTGGAGTGTTCATTTGATCTGTGTCGAATGTACCACGAGCTGTACTATCTATACGCGCACATCGACATAGCCAGTTGCAGCGGCTACGGTGGCTAGGCCATGTTGTGCGAATGAATGAGGATGTCCCAGCTCAGAAGGCATATAAAAGCGAGCCAAGTGATGGTTCACGCAAAGGGGAAGGCCACGAATCTGATGGAAAGATGAAGTGGAAGAGAATATTTTGGCACATGGTCTTTCAAATTAAAAAATCTGCACGCAAGACCGACGCGCTTGAAAATCTCGGCTTATGGAGGAAAGCAAGCATTTCCTTGGGGTTGTCTCCTCCTTCATGTCTCCTCGCATTCCAACTATGTCAACCAGAAGCTGTAGTTTGGACTTCGTTCCTTAGCGACACCCAATGGAGATCCTTGCAAACTACATAAAATATTGCACTCCGAATTACAACTGGATGTGTCCAGATGACGAACGTCAATCACCTTCAGTCAAGTGACATAATGTGCTGTTGGCTAGACAGTTCCTACTATCTGCCGCTTCATCCCAAGCATCAAGCAGTGATGGGAGATCTACCTCCACGACACAACCGTCAAAACTTCAAGCGCTATAGTGAAGGCATCCAAGACGTCATTCCTTCGGTCGTCAACAGAGATGGGTGATCCACATCTGCAACATATCGTGATGGCATAGATTGTCGATAGCGAATGTGATGAAATCCGTGCATCAACTGGAGCTCTCCGAAGACATAAATGGCTACAGAAACAACAAAGTCCTACTCCAACATCCTCCTGCCAGCAGTACCCTCACGACAAACGCTATCTATCCAATTATTCGCCTGAATATACAAGTCTATTGCCAATAGAATTATGGCTAAAGCCAATAGAGGTGACACAATTTTTCAGGCTTCCAACTCCAACCAAAAATGATCAATGTTGGTCCATGGATATATCTAAAATCTTGCATCTAAAGAAGGACCAGTGGGTGATAACTTATGATGGACTTATTGTTGGTATTCTATCAGTGGCGGTCCCAATAATGGGATTCTGTTTATATCGGTTCCAAACCCGAATATTTGACTTCTACGCGTAGAATAACAAATGTAGATCTTGTGTCCACCGAAGACCCTCATAAGTTATTCTGACAATAGAAGAACGAAGGTGACCCTCTAAGCATAGAACAGAATACCTAGTCAAGCTCTTCTGTCCATAGAACACATTTATATTTGTTGAAAACTTTTAGTGCCACGCGATCATCTAACCAAAATCTGTATGGAATGACTCATATATAACAAATTGTACTTAATGATGGCATATGAGGTACATACAAACAGCAAGTACTCATACGAGAGATGAAATGTACAGACATACCAGACAAATGCTGTTGGGTCTTACAACGGAAATATGTTTTTCTTCGTAATGGCTCTGTTTTCGGCCAACAGACAAAATTCGAAATGTTCAGTTTAGTACGGGAATTGCAGTGAGAACGAACGTTAAGTACATTAGAAATTAAACGCGGCGGGCCAAAGGAAAAAAATTATAAAAGGCCTTAATATCTAGATCAAAAAAATATAAAAATTATACTAAAACTTATGCAAGGTCTAGGTACAAAGTAAAGGTCTTTTGGTGCAAGCGAATAAAATGTAATAGAAAAATAATTTTAAATTATGGAATAAAATTAAAAAAAAAATAAATTTATTAGAAAAAGGTATTCAAATGTGAATGAAATAAAATGTTTAACCCAGAAAAAGCTAAAAGCAAACCCCTTGATATTCATTATTTTTAGCAGCAGCAACAGCCGCAAAAGAAATTCTTGAAAACATCGTGGATAAAAGAAAATCTTACAGTAAACCATAAAATACTAATTTTCTAACAATTACATATTTTTAAAGTAAAAAAAAAACTAATCACTTCTAACAAATCTAAAACAAAATGGGTAAATATTAAAGAAAATATTTAAAAATGTACACACACATATACAATAGTTTTTTTCAATTTCTTCCAATGCTGCTGCCCTTGCCAATGCAAAAATGTAGAGTTTGTTGTCTTGTCTTTTGGGTGCTTCTGTGTTGCCTTCCCATCCAACAAAAACAACAACAACGGCATAAAAACCAAAAACAGATCACCCTCAATGTTTCCGAATGGAAACACGACAAAAAGCATGTGGCGCACAGTACACTTGACTTGCTTTGAAAACGACAAAGTTTATTGAATTTGATGGATCACCACCTCTACCAACCCGCTAACAAAGGCGAGAGAGCGCCAATGCACCAACAATTTTCAAAGCAACAAAATTGTTGATACATAATTTCTTTCATGTAATTTCAACAAAATTTTTGTATCTACCGCAGAGAAAGTTCGTTTGTTTGTTTTGTACTTTCTGCCGAGGACCTCCCCGAGGAGGATCGTTTAGAGGGGAAACAAAACATTTACAAACCAAAAAAATGTCTATGTGCCAACAACAGATTTGGTGGCGGCGGCAGCGGGCACAAATAGTTGACTCTTCTACTTTTTGGCAGCCGGCTACTAAGAAAATGATTCAACAAATTCTCTGCTTGTTATAGCTCGGAGAAAATAAACAATGATCGTGCTATGCACAGTGTAATAATTGATTTTCATTCATCAAAATATTTAAGTAGACTTTTTTAAACTACACTGTTCGGCAGTAATTTCGAAACTCGTTTTCCACTTCGATTGGAACACTTTCGAAACCGTGGGCGTAAATCATCGAAATGAGGACTAATAAGT